AATAGAAAGTTATTAATTTAAAAAAATAATTAATTTAAGAAATGGTGACCCAAAATACTGAATCGACCATCGATAGCAATGACCACCATCAGAATATGGAGCTATTTAACACTTTGATTTTTTGCTCTGCATTTGTTTAATTACTATTGTAATGGATATTTTTTGTCCATCTAGGAAAAACCTGATGTAAATACGAGACGGGCCCTCGTCCTTCGTGCACTTCCTGTGTACCTGCGTGAAGATGCCTCCAAGTTCTTCAGGACCTGTAATGTAAGTGTACTGGCCTCACTATCAATTTCTTTGCCTAGCTATTCAGTCAGCTTAAACATATGACATCACTCAAAGAACTCTAGGAGAACCAGGGGGGTATTCCAGAAAGCAGGTTATGTGAAAACTCATAGTGAACCCTGAGATGAGGGAAACTCTGAGTTATCCATTCCAGAGGGCTATTCCAGAACTCAGGACCAGCTCCTCTGCCTCTGTCGGACGTGGTGGAGGTGGAGGTGGAGGTGACTGTCACCACTTCATGTTCATCTACTCAGCAGGATGTTAGGAGACAGATGTGTGTTAAACAGCATCTGTTGGTGGTAAAAGCTACTACAAGTTAAAATATCCACTGAATAAACTTTTACTTTGTTTAATATGTGAAATAAAACCAAAGTGAGCAGCCGTGAGACTGTGCTTATATTTCATTTTCAGCCGATTTAAATGAAATAAAATAGCCTAAAATAAAATAAAACAAAACACTGAACAACATTCAACCACTTCCTCAAAGGCTAATATAAAAGAAAGTGATGTTAAATTCAAAATGAAAAGACGACCGCATCTAAAACTCAACTGTCAGTGATTTTTATTACGGCCGCAGCCAGAAAATGTCTGCTTCCTGTTTTCTCCCGTTGCCATGGTGAATCACAGTATCGGAGCTCCACTGATGATGGCTTTATACTAGTCGTCAGGCACGAGCTCAACTCAGAGTTAACATACGCAGAGTCAACTTACCTAACTCAGATCAGCTGTTCTGGAACCGAAAACTCAGAGTTTCACTTCACAGGGTAAGTCAACTCAGAGTTCAGGGTTAGGCTCAGAGTTTGTTGAACCTCCTTTCTGGAATACCCCCCAGGACCTGTTTATGAAGTTTACTAGAGTTGTTATTCTGCAAACTGACATGCAGAAATGACATAAATGAAAAGGTAAAAGTAAAGTATAAAGCATTCCACTAAACAAAAAGTATGCTAACAGATAGGTGTGAAACTAACATAAGATATAAGCATATGTAAAGAAAATAGTATAAACATGTAGCTTAGTTGCAGTCTAAGTGCAAAGTGACAGTAATGTCTAGGCATCATTAGCATGATTTGTATCCTTGAGGGGCTGAACTCATTCTTGTATTATTTGTGTTTTGTAGTCAGCAGAAAAAAGGAAGGAGGGAGGAAAGAAAGGAGAATAGAAGTAAAGAAGGGGGGAAGAGAGAAGAGGAGAGGAGATAAGGCAGGGCAGCGTATCTCAGGAGAGGGTCATCCAATGATTACAATGCTAGTGGTTCGAAAGGAGGCGGGACAAGAGAAGAGGAGAGGAGAGAAAGGAGGAGGATAGAAGGGGGAAAAGACAGGTAAGAAAAGAAGAGAAAAAAGGGAAAAGGAAGAGGTGAGCACAAGGCAAGGAAAGGAAAAGATTGATCTGGGAGCAGAGTGTAACTGTGGGAGTGTGAGAGAACCAGAGGACAATAAAGATAGGGATAGAGCCAGTAATAAGTGTTCAGAGGCCAGCGCTCAAGTTGCCTCAGGTCAAAGCCAGCCAGGACAGCCACTGGAAAACACCATAAATAACCTCATAATATCATCACTGCTGACCATAGCAACAAAGTGAGAGAGACACCTTGGTACACTCAACACATTACATTTTTCTCTGAGTAGCTGACCCAACAACATGTACAAAAATCAAAGAGCAGAGGGTGAATTTAGCCAATGGTCACGTAAGTATTTGGAGGCCTTTATCAGATAGACAGTTGATAGATGACAGGAAACGAGAGGAAGAGAGAGAGAGATGAGGGGAATGACAAGCAGCAGGATCCTCAGCCGGACAAGAGCCAAGGATGTTGCGATTTACGGTCTGTGCCAAAGTCAGAATGATGAGATAGTCCATCAAAACTTTGACTTACCAAGTCAAAATCATAAGAAAATAAGTCCAATCTTTTGACATATTAGCTCACAAATTTGTCCAAAAAATAAAAGAGCAGAGAGAGGACTTAGCAAATGCTCAAGGAGAACTGTATATATACGTTTTATATCATTTACAAATATTGCTAAATTAAAAAAAAGAGATACAGCATCAAAATGTTGCTCTATCAAACCAAATGTAAACAAAAATTATGCCCAAATTCCATATTTATAAGTGAAATACAAAGTCAATTTATTTATTTATTTTTTTTTTTGGCCTTTATTTGATGGATACAGATAAACAGGAAAGGGGAGTAGAGAGAGAGGGGATGACACACAGCAAAGGGCCGCAGGTAGGATTCGAACCCTGGGCCGCTGCAGCAAGGACTCAGCCACGGTGCATGGGTCGCCAGCTCTACCCACTGAGCTAACCAGGCACCCACAAAGCCACCTCTTATGGCGGCCATTGTTAGGTCAACATTTTACTATCAATATGAAATATGGGATGTGTACAAAACAAACATATCTGGAGAAGAATAATTTAATTTTATATTTAATACTATCCTATAATTTTAACTTACCACGATGAGTTTCACAACTAATCACTTGCATGAGTACTTTTTAATTTTCATAGACAGGCTGTCTAATCAAGAGCCAGACAGCTCTGATCGGCTGCCATCGACATAGATTGCTGAAATCCTGGCAGTCGGTCCAACTTACAGCATTTGAACCAGAAAGCCTCCGTCCACTGAGCAGATGTACCTCATCTGAATAGTGGCAGAAGCCAGTCGGCATCCAGTATTGTGATTCATTCAAAAGCATTCAATTTGTCTCATTCATTTCAGCTTTCAACTAAACTGCATTCATTTCAAAATCACAATACACACCAAAAGGGAATATTATGCCCAATAAAAACAGGGTTTGTGAGGATTGTAATTTTAAAAAAGCAACAAAAACAAGCCAGGGAGGGCAAGCAAAACAGTCCTGTGTTTTCCCACATTCTCAGAAAAAAACAAGGGCACAATCAAGACAAAAGGTAAAGGAGCAGCAGAAACGTACACATTTGAAAAATTTCAAAGGATTATGTTTTGCAGTTCTAGCTGAAAAGGATTAAGTAAATAATTTGGGACAATGCCTTCAATAGAAAATGCATGACGAGTAATCGGGAATACAGCTGGTCCATTCTGCAATCAATAGATAACGGGCTGAAGCTGTGACATGAGTGTGACACACTGGATATCATCCTGATAAAATCTATGGCAGCACCATCTAGTTCATGGCTGACTCATACATCTCCTGCTGATACACAGAAGTGTCATCTGATCCAAAACCATAACCTGCTTGTCAACGATTAGCTTTGTTTCTTTGATTTTGTTGGCTCGCTGCTTTCATGTATCAAGTCTAATTCTTCTCCCCCACAACATGTCAGTAAAGGCACAAAGCAACATTATCCGATGGCTATCCAAATTTGGGTGCATATGTACTGGATGTATCTTCAACCCATCCCATGTCCCTAGGGGGAAGCTTTGATCATCAGAAGACCTGTTGCTGAGGAACAGCCGCAGCAGCTTCCGCAGTGAAGCCACTCTCCACGGAGAGCATGAAAACAATGTGGCGACAGCATTCTGCCTGCTTCCCCATCTGCATTAAAATGTCTCATTAATGGAAAGCCTCACTGTGCAGCCAGCAAATGGTGGCACATATGGCCAATTTCTTCCACCACTAGTGAGGCTTTTCTGTGGCATCTGTGATGACTAAACAGAGCAATTCTAATCTGCTTTCGGAAGCAAATTACTGTCTGCATCAATTGTCAAATGCCATTGAAGAGTATCTTGATTAAATGACCATGCTGAGGTGCAACTACACCCAAAGCAGATGTAGGTGGAATACTGCCTGCTTGGGATTAGATGGCACACTCCTTTATGTTTTAATGGATGTAATCATATCCAGAGAGGGCAGTATTGGCATCCCGGTGTGGACAGAAGTGCAAATTCTGCACAGATGCATTATACATCCCACCAGCTGTGTGTTGTCTGTGATGACCCTGGATCTGTCAATATAGCACTGAACAACAGAAGAGGACTCACATGGGAGAGACGGCTCATATATTCAGATCATGACTAGTTACAAACAGTATGTGATTGTTATGGCAAATTAGAGGGTACTGTGACCTCCTCTGTGTTGTTCCTGGCCCTGGGAAACAGAGCAGAGTGCTTACTAATACTGACTCAGCTCTCAAAGCCATAGGGGGAAAAAAGGAGAGCTATAAAACGGAAGTTTAATTGCTGTTTTATGTTGAAAACTTCAATCCAATATGACTTAAAAAATAAATTTGAAAAAGTACCTTTTCATAAATATTGATCTTTTGGCCACTTGGTAGTAGAACAGACATGGGGGAACATGAGCATTTGGAGTTTTAAGTCTAATATCCACTCTAACCTCTCTCTATCAGTTCCTGAGAAAAAATATCTGACTAGATGTTTCCGTTCCTTCACCATTAACTTTGTCTGGTTGGTGCAGGGCAGGTAGCATACAATGTGTTCACCAGAGTTTATTGCCCGCTGCTACAAAAAGGTTTGATTTCAGCACTGACTACACAGTAAATGTGTTGCAAATCCGAAACCTTTGGCTAAAAGAGTGGTGTGAGGACTTATATCTTTTTATATCTGCATTCCCACAGTACTTTTTCAAGTGAGCTTCTTACATTAGTATCACTACAGTCTAACATGCCTAATAAAACCACATTAAGCATTACTATGGTTACTAAAACACCCATCTCCATTGATTCTTTTCCAACAATGCAACTGGTGAATTCAAACTGGTAACAACAAAAACAAGACTTACAATATTCATTAGAGTGAGGAGGTAATTCTGCACATGCTCCTTGCCGTGAAATCGAACCACCGAGTCATCAACCCCCAGCAGGATTTCAATGTTGTAATCGTCCTCACCGGCATCTCGCCGACGGCGGCGGATCGTCTCATTGACCTGGTGGGCAACTGAGTCGAGAGTACCGGGTACATCCAGGTCTGGCTCTGTAAAGAGATCAAGACAGGAGAGATAGAAGTATTGATGTGGATGTGCAAAAAGTAATATTCATGAAAGCTACAAAACTTTTCTGAATAACAATTAAAATGAATAAAAGTACATGTCATCATATTGGGCATCACTGTAAGCAATTTGTTTCCAGTCTGTTTATAAATCTGTTTTATATTTGACAGATCAACAGTCTTAATCAGTCTTGATCAACACAGTTACGCTGATGGGCAGAGATAAATTCAGATAAATATTGTGCTCTTGCATTCTCCATTAGATTACTGTAGTGAACTAACTCCTTCATAGCCTCATAGTGTACTTGGAGAACTGATTTTATCCATCTCCACTCTGCTTTTCTTAATATTATTGTTTATCCAAGGCTGCTTTCTTTTTGTAGGTTTTGATAATGAAGCCTCGGGGTGCCGGCTTTCTCAGGTAAACACTCTTGAAAACCTTGAAGACTCTTGAGCTCATGATGATGAAGGCCAACATTAAAACTCAAAATCTCTTGAGTGTGCAAAGATAACTGACACTGTGGTAAAAAGTCACTGATACACTGCTGAACTGCTATAATGTAATTCATGGCTAATTTTTCATTAAATTCACTGCCAGTAATAGCACTATAAGACAAACAATATATAGTTATTTTTGCAATTCACAGATAATCTGCTGTAAAAATCTGATTTGACTTCAAAGCATGTTCCTTTCTCAACTGGATAGGAAAATGAAGTAAATTATTTGACTTGACAGTATTCGGCCCCCTCTGAACTTGCTGAATCAGACCATGAAATTGCTAATACTTTCCGTTTTGATGGAACGGCCTTCCAGTACTTAATGTCTCCCTAACACTGCTTAGCTTTACACTCTGAAGGCTGAGGCCGTCTCTGTCAAACCTCTCTGGAAGCACTGCTGATATGAAATCCTTCATCTGGTGCCCTTGGTAATCCTGACGAAAGCAAACGACACCTACTCTGAGAACAGAAATGGCCGTAGATATCCCTTACTTTGCTGCTTTACACTAGGAAGCACTGGAGATTACATTTTCCACTATAATGACTGAAAAATCTGCAGCTTAGTCAGTCATAAAAGCAGCCCGCAGGAGTTGCAGGTTGAAAAAGCGTCAGGAAAAAACTTGTGAGCGAATTATCAGGGTCTCTGAGTCTGAAACTGTTTGTCTTCGCTGGAGCAGCTGGCCAATAGTAAGGCTGTGATTATGCCTACTGTTTGTATTGTTTGTAGTCAACCACAGTGGAAAATTGCACTTTTGTTTTTGTTTGGTATTTGGTTCATTGTAATCTTGTTTGACATAATCTCAAATTAAAGAGTTTAAACCTTGAGTGTGCTGTCAGTTGTTTCAAACAGAGTTTCTCAAATGTTTTCAGATGGAGAATATTGTTTTCTGAGACCTTATTAAACTATTATTTCAACATTACTCAAGCAAAGGTTTACTACTTATTATAATGCACAGTTTATTAAACTCTGAAATGTTTCATTGACACAAATACTTCACTTTGAATCTTGTATGTTGCCATCACCAATGCAAAGGATCAAAATTTTCTGTTGGCTCTTTCTTCACACTAAAACCTTTTGTAGACGATTACGACATAGGTTGAGCTCCTCAGATAAAATGCCAACTAAATGTTAACATTATAATAAAGCAGGTTCTTGAGACTCCAAAAAGATACAGGTTAAAAAAAAAAAAGAAATGTCAGTTCTTGTGCATATTGTATTTGTTGTGCTTAATGGAATATCATTTTGAGACCCGGATCTCACATCGCTTTTGTAGCAGTAAGACTACAATGATTCTAGTTTTTCCCTATATACTCATGCTAAAAATTAGTCTTGGGGGTCATGCCCACAGACACCTTCTTTGTCACCTTTTCAACTCTGATGAATTTGCATCCCTGTAACATTTCTATTTACAAGTACATTGTGTGAATATGTAATGCCGGTAATGCTTTTACCGTGAAACTGTCAACTGTCTCCGACATTATCTGTAACATCCTATTAAATGCTAACAAAACATCTCAGACAGTCATCAAATATCCATCTGCAAATATGCTCAGTCATTCAAAGAGCACAGAAAACACCACTGAATAAATTGTCACTCTTTTGCTTTTAGGCTTTTTTAAGGCTTTTTTGCTCACAGGCTTTTAAAAGGCTGTATCATGCACTTTATAAACATAACACCAGCACTCTGATCTATGAAAGCTATAGCTATAAAGTTGTTAGGTTGACATAATGTGTCATATATCTGCAGGCTGAGAGCTAAAATGTTTGATTAATGCACACAATGGTATATGTGGTGTACTGCACAGCTTGGTGCAAATGGTCTGCTTTTGTAGAAGTGCTTGTTTTTTCAGAACATAACATATAGCAGACCCCCTGCCTATGTGTCCAATGGGCCTCCTGTGGTCATTTTTCATTTGAGACCAGCACAGCTAAATTTTGATGCTCAAACTGAATATAAACTGAAGTCGAGGGAGGTCATCTTCCATTTGGTAATGTCCATAAACCTCTGCCTGTAGTCTGCCAGTAAGACACTGCTTGCCTTGAACTAAAAGTTGGGTTTGTGTAGGTTCATGCATCCCATTTGCAAACAAACCAGGGTTGGTAAACAAAGGTCACATGGACTCACAAGTTGCTTGTGTATTAAAGGTTTTGGTAAGTCCTCCTCCTGCCGTGTTAGAATATTTGGCAGAGGGTTGGGTCAAAACAAATTTCATTCCAGTGCCTGTGAATTTAGCTAGACTTGATAGAAGTGTCTGCGCTGTGTACTGGAATTAACCTTCTGTGGTCTTCAAACAAGTTAACATCACATGAGGAATCAAAAGTGAACATAAGCATCTATTCATATAATAGCCATTCATCCTCATGTATTGGTATTGGCCTACGGTGCAGTGCTCCTGGAAGAAGATAAAGACAGTCTCAGGTGTCAGTTTTTTGGCATTCTCACCTGCTGAAATTAACTGTATATAAAGACTCAACTCTCTTACAAACCCCCCAAAGCTTATTTAGTGTGAAAGATTGAACTATGATTCCACTGAAATCTCCTCAGTTTAAATGTCTGTACCTGACGAAAGGTAAGGCAGGCCATTCCTGAAAAAAGTAAAGGTCCTCGGTGCTGTGTAAAAAAAAAAAAACCCTGAATAAATAAAAGATTAAAGCAAAGAAATTTAGTTTTCATATTTCATCCCCACTGGGTGAAGATACTGCACTGGAAATCTCAAGCCATAAATAAAAGTGCAGGCTATTTCTCATTTTTCCAGGGATGCTTAGGGCCACAGACAGGGCCAGTGATTGAGTGGAGAGGGAGCTAAAATAAATAAGAAGAAATGGCTGCCACCTCAGCCCTGGCCCGGCTCCGACAGTGTTGGGATTGTGGAGTGCATTCCTTCTCTCCGCCGCTCCCGTCATGACACAGGCATTCTTGTGCAGCGGGCCAGTCCTCCCCCTCCCCCTCCTGAGTAAACAGGCTTTCTGAGGTCCATACTTCAAACGCATAGGACTTCCCCTCAGCAGCGCTCCTTAAGACCGCTAGTGTGCTTCAGTCAGTGGCGAGGCCCCCTCTCCTGCTCCTCCTCCTCCTCCGCCTCACCCCACCCCAGGCCCACAGCCCAGTCCCATGGGAGCCACACCACGCAGCAGCAGCAGCAGTAGCCCAGGAGATGGGAGAGGCCCCCAGCCAGCGCCTTCCCACACGTGGCACTGTGCGGCAAGGTGGCAACGAGGCCAGCCAGAGCAGCCGCAGGCTAAAAATGGCACAGAGGTAGGCGACAGGCAACTCTGTGCCATCAGCCTAGAGTGGAAATCTACTGTGTCTGCAGTGACGACATTAATATACACACTCCACCGTTCATGGACACAGATATATTGCCAGAATTACATATTGCAGAACCTGGGTGAAAAGAATGCAAAGTAAATTTGCATTTGTTTTTAGTTTTTTAAATAGAAGGATCAATATATTTTTAATCATAAATGTTAATACATCTAATAGTAAAGGCATCTTAATTTATGGAAAAATGCCCCAGTATCCTGAGTATTACAGCGACAATAAGCAGCATTTTTGCATTAAAATATGGGCCATAATCCTTTTATCTGTTTCTGCTATGTAGTGGAGCTGCATGATTGGCCTATATACAGTGCTTTGTGAATGAAATGATAAGGAAATGCACATTTATACTGGGGATGGAAATTTGCTTAAAATCTATTCTGTGAGCTGGCAGTAATTTGTCTCATGGGGCGAAACTAGTACGAGGTACAACAAAGTAGGACAAATAGACCAAGGGAGGGAGCTGGGTCTGCGACTGTTTTGTTAGAGCAGTTGGTAATGATGTCACTTACAATGCATACTTGATGAGAAGCTTTACAGTTGTAACTAATACCAGACATTAATATAATGACTGAGTATCTGAATGGCGCTTAATGTCTAAGGACAATTTAAACTGAGTTTGAGCCTGATGAGCTGACAGTGCTCTTACAGGAGAGGGTTCAAAGACCAGAAATTCATCAATAGAGAGACTGCTTGGATTTAAGTCAGAAAGGGTAGGTGAGGTTTACGTCAAGAGTGATGTCAGTTCTGACTCAGAAACAATGTAACCGCTCTGTCATGAACTCGAGAAAGACAATCAGATATATGCTGTGTAAACTGTTCCTTCCATTTACATATGCTGCAACATCAGCTGGTGCAAGCCATACAGCTACAATTTCACACATGGCTTCCTGTGAACAGATAACTGAAATAGGCTTAAAGTGTGATCTAATCGACTGTGAAAAAGGCAGGATCAGTGGCGCCAGGAGAGCAGGTAAGAGCATTGCCCCGACATCAGCTGTTCAAAGGAAGCAGTCTCAAAGGAATTCAGTGGATGAAACAGGACACAAGACATCCCATCAAAATATGTGATGAGATGTCAGGTGGCTCAGGCCACAACAAATAATGACAATAATTCATTTCAAAACACACAATCCAATGCAGTCTTAAATAGAGCAGGAGGAAATT